ATGGCATTCCAAGTCCTCAATAGTTCGTTTTCGACACTTCTCTCTGGTAGTCCTGTCTCTAATCGCTTTTTTTCAATGTTTTCCAAGTCAACTCTAAGGTCAATAAATTTCTGCTTCCAAATTGAGCTACTCTGAAATTCAATCAACTGCATTTCAAAGTCAGCCATGTCTATCCATGAAAACATTTGTAAGTTTAGTTCCTCCAGTTTCATGCTGTCTGGTAACCTCATGAATTTTGCTGTCTCTTCCAGTTCTCTGAATTTCGCAAATCTTGAGAAGAACTGCTCAATAGTTGACTCGATGATGTTTAAAAACAGCTTTTGAAGGCTTTGACAGTCTGTTCTGTCATATTTTGGGAGGTCTTTGATGTGCCTCTTGAGGTTTGGGAAATATCTAAATCTCTCACCATCCACATCCCTCTTCAAGACTTCCAGTTTCTTTTCAAAAGCCTTTATGTAACCAAACATAACATCAAGTGTCTTGCCAGTTCCTTGTAATTTAACATTTAATTCATTCAAATGTTCACAAAAATTGTAAATGGAAGATTATAAGAGAGGGTTTCGCATGCCAGCAAAAGTTACTGGCGTGCCCTGTATGGCACGCGTGCCAGGGGTTGCCCACCCCTGACTTAGGAAGAGCCACACTCAAGGGGCCAAAGAGCTGCATGTGGCTTTCGGGCCGCAGTTTGCTGACCACAGGCCTAGAACATGATCTCTATTGTTTTACTTGTACATGTCTGGTCTTTTGTGTCTGATCCTCTTGTAGACTGCTTTGTATCCTCCACAGTACCTAGCATGATTCATGGCATATAGCATACACTTAACAAGTACCTAAATGATTTTTATTGATTTTAAAATGGACTTTTTGGAAGAATAAAAATACTGCTACTTTCCCCTTTGTAATATATAAAACAAGTTTCCTTAGCTTTCTAAAGAACATAATATTATTATATGATCATAGGAATTTAACCTAATTTCTAATTATTTTAATAGGTAAAATCAAAGAGATTACTTTTAATCTTGTGGGAATTAAATGGGTTTTCTTTCAGTTTTTTTTCTTATAAAAGTTTTTTATGGCAAACCATATAGCCATTAAAATGATGTTAAGATCTATTTTTTTTTGACATATTCTTCATCTTTGTAATGAGAGTTTAGATAAAATTAGGGATGGCAAATACATGATGGCATTCATCCTCCTTCATCCATGGCAGATAATACTGATCAATCAAAGGATTTTTTTCCTTCTGAATCCAGATAAAGGTACAGAATCTTTCTCAGCACAGTACTCTAATTGATTAGAATGTAGGCATTAGCTAAAGCCTACTTGTCAACACTGGTCCAGATGATTTGTAAGACACTTTCATTCACATGAGTCTATGAACTAGAACTAAAAGCCACAGCTTCTGATTTCTTTTCAATTTTTGTTGTTGTTGTTATTGTTGTTTTTTACAGTTTTACATGGTGAAATTGATTTTTTTGTTGAATATATATATTAATGAATTTGAGTGTGTTTATTCAACTACTGCCTTTACTATTCATTAACACTGTTTATATGCATTATTTCAGTGATCATGGTATTACTAAACCCATTTTGAAAATAAAGAAATGAAGACCCCACAGCTCTCTCTATGGAGCATGCCTGCACCTTTCCCCACCTCTTCCTTTCCCCTTTCCTCTTTTTCCTGTAGCATATCCCAGGGCCAATCTTCCCTCTTTCATCCCTCAAGGTGCATATCTCTCTTCCTCTTTCTCATAGGCTCCAAGGGCCCTTCTACTATCTCTGTGACTTTCTAAATAAACTTTCCCTTATAATTTGAGAAAAAAAGAAGAAGAAGTGAAGACCCAAAATGTCTATGCTATTGCCCCAAAGTCAACTACTTAAGTAGCATAGCTAGTTTCTAAAGCCAGGTCTTTGAATTGCTGAGTCAGAGCTCCATACCTTATATACTACATTGCTCTATGGTACTAATAGGTCTCTGGTTTTATTCCTTTAGATGGATGATGAAAATGCGCTTTCATTTCATGGTGTGGCTTATGTTAATATGGTCCCATTGCTGTATCCAGGTGTGAAGAGGATTCGGGGAGCTTTTCATGTTTACCCTTATCTAGACAGCACGGTCTATGAAAAGGTCAGAAAAATTGTATAGAAGATGTCATCTGTACCAGTTTATCCTTTATATTTGTTTACTTTACATATACATGCTAAAGATTATACATCTTTGCAATGGATGTTTGGAACCAATTGATATACTGGGATTTTAAATATAGAGCTTGCTGTCATTCTGCCATTGAATCTCAAAAACTTTAGGCCAAATATTTCAACAATAATATTATATGTGAGTAGTCTAACCACCCCAATGAAAGGACAGAGATTATGAGACTTGGATTTTAAAATATCAAGATTCAATGATATGCAGTCTAAAACAAACATGCCTTAGATTTAGACATACATAAGTTGAAGTAAAAGAATGGAAAAGACATACTATGCAAGTAGAAAATGTAACAGAGCTAAGTGGCAATATTTGTATCATATAAAATAGACTTCAAGACAAGAAACATTACTAAAGACATAGAGTGGCATGCCATAATGAGTAAAGGCCAATTAATCATAAAGATAGAATTTATAAATTATAAATTATTACATAAAATAAGTGTATATGTAGATTATAAATGTATACACCACTAACAAGAGAACCTCATAATGCATGAAGCAAACCCCAACAGAATTGAAAGGAGAAATAGACAATTCGATAGTAACATTTAGAACTTTCAATATTGTACTCTCAATATTTAATAGAACAACTATATTATTAAAAAATCTATACTAAATATAAGCTTACCATGCAACCCAGCAAATCATTCCTAGGAATCTACTCAAGAAAATTGAAAACCTGAATTTATACAAACACATGTATGTGAATGTTTTAGGCTACTGTGAACAGCATTATTCACAGTAGCCTAAAACTCATAACAATCCAATGTCCACAACTGATGAGTTGATAAACAAAATGTGGTATATCTATACAAAGAAATATTATTTAGCAATGAAAAAGAATGGATTACAAATAATATAATATGCCAAAATCATTGTATTTTTGGTGAATTATATGAAATGTGAATTATATCTCAATAAAGCTGTTTTGTTAAAAAAGGAATGGGCTACTGATACATTCTATAACATGGATGAACTTCAAAATTTTTATGCAAAGTGAAAGAAGAAAGACACAAATGACTACATATTGTACAATATCACTTACATGAAATGTTCTCATTTCCTAGAAATGTTAAAATTTGAAAAAGTTTATATTTTAGATTATGAAATACAGTAATTTAGGACTTTGAGTGGTGATTAGTATTTATAATTTTTTCTTTAAAATTGTGGGACCATGTTCTTAGCAGCATTATTGAGGTACAACTGACATATACTTAAGTGGCACAATCTAAAGCTTTTGACGTAGGTATACATCTGTGGCACTATCACCACAATCACGATAGTAAGAATACCCATCACTGGCCAAAGTTTTATCATGACCTTTCCTGTTATCCTTCTCTCCTACTTCTGTTCAATCCCTCTGGGTTTTTTTGGGGGTGGGAGGGGGGTGGGGGGAGTCTGGCTTCTTTCACTCAGTATAAATTATATTTACATTCATCCATATTGTTTAATTTTAAAATTTCTGTAAGACTCTTTTCCAGGCATTGTAGTTGAATTTTCCCATGCAAAGTTTTTATTTTGAACTATAAACTTGCCCCTCTTCTTCTAATCATAATTGATAAACCAGTAATTAAATAATGTTTCTTGTACAGAAATAAATTCAACCATTTAAAGTTAATTTGAAATTATGTGTCAAAGATGAAAAGCTGTCTGGTAACAAGTTAATGAGATACAAAATCAAGCCGAGTTGAAAAGTCTTCTCTTAAGAATTTAAATAATGGGATAGACAGCTAGCTTTCTGTGATGGTTTTACTTCCTCAACAAATATGGGTGCAATAGAGTTTTTTAATTCCCCCATTTCTCTTTGTTTCTACAATGTTAAAATTATCTAGAAAACTAAGGGATGTTAAAGAATAATGTGGATTTCTTTTATTTGCCTATGATTCATTGAAATTTTTGTTTGTTTGTTTTTTAGACCAAATGTTCATTTAGCTTGTTCCGGGATACTGGGCATAATTTGCTTCATAATAACAAAGTAGGAGGAATTAATTCTCCATTGTCCAAACCAGTTGTTGCTAAGAACCTGAAAGAAGATAAAATAGTAAGAAAAGGATATAAAAGGAAGGCCTAGGTCTGGGGATATGGTAGGTTGTTGAGAAGGTGATGATTTTGCTGATTTTGTTACATTCCAGAGGCTTACACTTATTTCTCATTTGGTGAATTGCCTCAATTTGATTTGCATTTTGATGCAACATAATGATTAGTGTTCCTGCCATTGTAAAGACCATATAAGAATTTCATTTTTAAGGTATGTTCCTTTCTTTCAGCCAGCATCTAGTGTAAAATCTCAGAGCTCAGATACAGCTGTGGAAATTCTGGATGCCACTCCAAACTACAATCCAGAAGGACAGGTAACTATGCATAAAGAGTTGGAAAATTAAGTTTACATTCATCAGTCCTTTACTGAGTAAGGTAGTATGTTGTAGTGGGAAATGCTCAGGAAAATGCTCATTGAGTTACCATCCTTATTTACCATGACTGGTTTTTGATGTTGGGTAAATTTCTTTGTCTTGCTGAGACTTACTGAAACAAATAGGTACCAGATTAACTTTAAGGACTGTTACAGCATTAAAAATTTATGTCTTTTATTAAAGCTACTATTTTGAGCACTATGAGGGATGCAAGGATGCATTATCTGCAGCATTTATTCATCTGCTCTCAGGACACTCAACAGTCTGGTGGGCGAAATACAATTGGTACATAACTAATGGCAATACAGAACTTTGATGAATGCTGTAGTAGAGGAATGCATAAAAGTGCTGTGTGGGCTCCAACAAAACAGATTAGTAGCTACTAGAATGGGGCAATCTCAGAAATCTTCATGGAAGAGGTGGCATCCAAGCTAAGTAGTGAAAGAAGAAGAGAAGCCTTTGCCAGATGAAGATGGAAGAAGAGGCATTTCAGGGTCAGGGAGCAGCTGGAGTCAAGGCACAAAGAAGATAGCAGAATTTGGGGTACATCAATTAATTCAATGTATGGTATAGAGCAGCAGTCGCCAACCGGTGGTCCGCAGACCACTGGTGGTCCATGAGGTCTGAAAGGTTGGCAACCGCTGGTTTAAGGAAACCTTGGGAGCAGTGGTCGCCAACCGGTGGTCTGTGAACCACTGGTGTTCCATGAGGTTCATAAGGTTGGCGACTGCTGGTATAGAGAAATGAAAAAAAGAAGAGGTTCTAGGAGGTGAGAAATGAGAGAGAGAGTGATCTGGGTTGTAGAAAGGCTTTGAAAGGCTTGCTAAAAAGTTTGGGCTTAATTCTACCTATCCTATCTAATAAAAGAGAAACATGGTAATTAGCCATACATCCGCTACCCTTCCCATTGGCTAATCAGGGCGATATGCAAATTAACTGCCAGCCAAGATGGTGGCCGGCAGCCATGCACTGAA